CCCGGAGGGGATGAGGTTCCCGCCACCCTTCCCAGGCTGCTCCCAGGATTTTCAGTCTGCATGAAGAGTTTAGGGAAGCGCTGCTGCTGCTGCATTTGCGGCTCCCGGGCCCGGGCGAGCAGCGCTTCCAGCCGTCGTTAGGAGGAAGCAGAGCACCGCGCTCCGTGTGCGGCAGCGCCGGGCGCCGCCTCTCCTCCTCTTCCTCCCCCTCTGCCCCGACACGTGTGACCAACTAAGACACAGGAGACCCTGGGGGATGTCCTGAAGCTGGCACAGAAGCTACCCAGTCTTTCCTGCCCCCTTTTGTCCAGCCGGAGGGGACACCCCGCAGTGAAGCAAACGCTTCCAGTCGCACATGACTGTGCTCAAGTCACTGACGTGCCAAAGCCGCGACGATCATCTGGGTTCAGGATGCTGCTGCTGCTGCTGCTTAAGTGTGACACAAGGAGGCACAATGGCCTCCTCCAGCATCCCTCAAGTTTGCAGAGGCCCCCGTTTGAGAGCAGCCCCTGCTCTCCGCTGTGGTGGTGCAAGCTCAGGAGGGGCTCCCTGCACTCACCTGGAGCGGGTCCAGGGCTGTGTGGAAGCTCGGGGCCAGCTCTATCACTCATGCACGCACGCACAGAGCCACGTCTTTTCTCCGGTGATCTCTGCTGGCACTCGGCAGGAATTTCATTTGGATCAACTATTTAATATTCTCTCTCCTTCCTTAGAAACCAGGCTGCCGAAAAATCCTTCCAGCCAAGGCCCCTCCTTTCCTGTTTGAACCACCCTATCCCTTCCTCCCCCGTACACACACACACCGCAGAAACCCAGCTCTCTTGCTGGCACCTGATGGATTTCACTCTCCGTCTATTTTTTTTTTAAATATATTGTTATTGAAACTCCAGATCAAAAGAAAAAATGGAGATTTTCCTGTTTGTTGTCTGAGGTTTGGCAGGCCTGTTGATACTAGCTTTCACCTTGACAGCTCGGAGCTGCTTTGCACAATGGACGTGCGGCTCGCACCAGCCGGGTCCCTCCCGCAGTGACATGTGCACAAACCAGCGCATCCCTGCTCCCATGACCCCTGCCCTCACCCTCACCCCGGAGCTCGGCATGGAGCTGCCCACCTGCCTCCCCACATCCCCTCTGCTCACCCCTGAAGCCCTGCATCCCCAAATGCGGAGCAGGCGAGTATGGGAAGGGGGAATGGGGTGGGGGAAAATGTGCTGGGGAGCAACAAAGGACAGCACCAAACACAAGCTGCTGCAGGAAATCTGTGCTCGGCAGCACTCCTCCTCCTCCACCTTTCAGCTGACGCTGCAAAGATGATTTTCTTAGGGCTAATTCTGCAAACCCTCCCCTTTCCCCTCCTGGTTATCGTTGGCTCACGGTTTCATAAGGAAACTTGCCAAGTCTTGCTCGCTTTCTAGAAAGAGGGCAGGAATGAGAGAGAAGGAAATATTTGACAACCTTTGTTTTTCCATGAGCGTTTTTAGGGCAGCAGGCTCCAATCTGTGCCCTCCGCTCCCTGGTGCTCAGCCTGACCTTGCTGTCTCAGCAGGAGGAAGTCTGGCAGGAGCACAGGGGAGAAAAATGGAAAGACATGGTATATTTCAAAGGAAACCTAAACAAAACAGAGAAAACCCAGAATCCTGCAGCCTGTGCCATAAATGAAGCTCATTCATGTTTTTTTTACCAGGAACAGTCAATTGCAGATGTGATGTTTGGCTTTAAGTAAAGGACAGTGTCTGACTGTTGTGGGAGGAAGGACTACAGGGACCATCCTGTCAATACCTAAATATCCATCTACTTAAAACAAGTCCTACTAAGGCTCTTTAATCCCACACTTGCTTTCATTTCAGACTTCTGAACAAACCAGGAGGACATTCTGCTCATTACCTCTGGCATTCCTCAGTACCACTGCCCAGCATCCATATGAAGAAACTGAGGCATGCTACCTGCAAGCATCATGTCCCCAGGCAAGACATCTGCTCTACAGGAGAGCTAAGCCTGGCCTCCCAGGCTCTGGCTCTTGCAGTGCTGCTCAATGCATTTCTACCTTGTCCATAAGGAGGAAAGCATCTGCAATTTTAAACTTGGCCAGCACGAGGGCAGAAATAGATAGAAATGTAGTTTGATCTAGTCCTCACCACTGTCACATAGTTTATTTTGCAGAGTGCTGATTTTTTCTCAGCAGTTCGCAGCTCAGGGCCAATTTTGGTCATTGATAGATGGGAGGGCCAGGCCAGCTTTCCCAGTGCATGGTCCCTGTGCTGCTGGCCAAACTGGCAGAGGCCAGAAAGTTCAAGTCAAACTTAATTTCTTTTCTTGCCCTGTTGCTTAGAAACATGCCTATGAAAATATACTTTGTTCTCACACACTACCAGTCGAATGCCAAGTGACTTTTTTTTTCCCCTCTCCCATCCTCAGGAATTCCTGATTTATTTTTTATTTCTATTTGCAATTGCATAAATCTCAAGAGGAGCCTTCTGGTCTCCTGTGGCTTCTTGCAGCAGCCTTTCCAATGCAGGCTCATCTGCTGTCTGCGAACAAAGCCTGTTGAAAAGAGGCCCCTGCGGCACTTGGGGAGTCCAAACTGGAAGTGCAGGTAGTGCCACAGGGTTGGTTTGCACGACAAACCTGCCACCGCTTTCCTGTCCCTCTCCTTGCTCATTCAACGGGTATTGAATCCCAAGAAAATCAAAAGGAGTGGAATTACAAGGGTTAAAAGTTTTCACACAAAGCACCTGCTAAAGGACCAGTTTCCTTGGGAAGTGCGAGGCAGGTGAAACGGAAGGATACTCATGCTGGGAGCCAAGCGCCAAAGCTTCTTCAGGTGCCTGACTGGGGCACCCTCAGCACAGGCACGGGGAATGGGCCCTGCTCTCCCGCTGGGTTTCAGCTGCATGGCTTTGCCTTCCCAGCCACACTGCCTGCCCCCGGCCACGCACACACACGTGCAGAGTAAATAAACACCAGGATGACGCACTCCGGGATACTTGGCCTATCTCTGCTGACAGCGGTTACTGCCCAGCTTCCTGGGCTCCCCAGCAGGAACGTGGCTCCTGGCCTCACCCTCTGCTCCCTGTGCAGGTCAGCTCCCAACCCTCCTATCTTACAGCTGCTCTTCAAAAAACCAAGCTCAGCTTTGCTGTTTCTAGCTGATTAAAGGGAGTTTGGACATCTGATGTCATTCGAGGGAGGGGGGAAGTTATTACACACAGAATTTGGTTTTGCTCTGAAGGATGGTGCGTAGCAACGCAACCACTGCCTGCAAGCAGCAAAGGGGAAAAATAATAAAAGCATCACAATTTATTAGGTGCTAGAAAGGAAAAACGGATTCCCGTTGCATGGGTATAAGCAGACGCTTGCTGACAAGTAGAAATGACCGTTTCATGGACCAGAAAAAGTGAGGGTTTCTGTTTTTTTTTTTTTTTTTTTTGCCAAGTGGTCTCCTGGACATGCAGACACCCTCCCTACCTCCCTTCACACTGTGGCAGAAATACGGATGTATTTGGAGGAATACAGGGAATCTGTCCTCACATGAGCTACAGGATTCAGAAATGGGAGTGAAATGAGTGTCAAAATGAAGGAGCACTTTCTTTCATGCTTTTGTCACGTGCAAGGTACAAACATTTCAGAAGCTTGGCCTTGCACTGGTGCTGCCATGCTCGCCTTCATGGTTGCTTTTAACCTGTTCTTGCCCATTATTAACCACACCAGCATTATTTTCTGCAAACGCATATCCTGTCCCTAATGCACCTGCTCTCTTCATCTCCCTGATTTAAAGCCCATTGCCCAACAAAGATGTCCAGCAGCTGGCAGACAGAAAGAGCAGGCTGTAGTGATTCCAAGGAGGAAGTGTGAGGCAGAGCAACAAACCTGGGGGTGGCTGAGGACTTTGGGAACAGGCTGCTGGTTGAAAGGAGATGCCCTGCTCTCCTCTGTACTTCAATCTGCAGAGATCAGCTTGGGCCCCAGAGCAAGGTGGAGGATATGGTGATAGAAAGTTGTCAGAGAGAGGGTTGAAGACAGGGATGCAGGAAAGATGCAAAGGATGCAACTGGGGAAGGACTGGGATGCAGTTGTGACTAAAAGGGTGCATCTGGGAAGTGGGGAAAGAAAATCCTTCCACTGGAGATGGGACAATCAAGAGGCAGTGATGGAAGGCAGGGTGGGGGCTGTGAGATGATGCAACAGGAGGTTTGACCAGAGCACAGATGGAAGGAAGGATGGGAAAAGTGGCAGGGGGCATGGAAGAACAGCTAGGGGGGTGGCAAAGTACCCACAAAGATGGAAAAGCAACTGTGGGTGTGGGTGGAAGAACATCTAGAAAGATGTGAAAGTAGCTGGAAAGGTGGAAAAGCAATAGGAGGGGTGAAAGAGCAGCGGGAGGAGTGGTGGTGGTGGTGAAGCAGACAGAAATGATGGAAAAGCAACCGGGGGCTTGGAAAAGTTCGTGGAGGGGGTGGGGAGGAGAGAGAATGGGGAAATAGCTAGAAAGATGGAACAGCAGCCAGGGTGTGTAATTGTGTGAAAGAGAAAAGTCAGGCAGAAAGGCAGAAAAGTAGCCACAAAGATGGAAAAGCAGCTGCTGGTGGTGCAGGGGAATGGAGGAGCCGGGAAGGCGAAAAAGCACACGGCGGGGGAGGGGGGGAGGGGGGGATGGAAAACCGGGCGGAAAGATGGAAAAGTAGCCGGGAAGGCGGCAAAGTAAGTGGGAGCATGGAAAAGCACCTGGGAAGATGGAAAAGCAGCCGGCGGGATGGGAAAGCAGCGGCGGGGGCAGGGAAGAGCAGCCAGTGGGAGGGAGCAGAAAAGCAAGCGGAAAGATGGAAAGGGAGCCGGAAAGACGGAAAAGCAAGCGGAGGGTCATGGAAGAGCACCCGGAACGAGGGAAAACGCAGCCGGGAGCTGGCGGTGGGGTGGAAAAAGCAGGCGGAAAGATGGAAAAGGAGCCGGCAGGGCGGATAAGCATCTGGGAGAGCTGCGGATGGAGGATCGGGGTCACTCACCGGCCTTGGCTTGCTCGCGGTAGCTCTTCTCGCTGAGGCAGACGGCGGTGCCGTGGAGCAGGGCGTGCAGCGGCTTCTCCTCGCCCTGGCGCGGGAGGCAGCGCAGCCCGCGGGCGCAGCGCTCGGTGTAGACGCCGCAGGGCTGCCCGGCGGGCAGGGCGCAGGTGAGGCAGCAGCCGCAGCCCGGCTCCTTCACCAGCTCGCAGCCCAGCGGCGACGGCGGGCAGAGCGACAGCGCCTTGGCGTCGCAGGGCTCGCACTGCACGAAGGAGCCCAGGCACCGCGACAGCCCCGGGCAGGCGCCCAGCAGCACCAGGAGCCGCAGCAGCATCGCGGCGGGGATGCTGCGGGACGGGGCGCGGGGGGCTGCCGGGAGCGGGCGGCGCTGGCTTTCCGCTTGCCCCTTCGGGGGCCAAAAGAAAAAAAAAAAGAAAAAAAAAGAAAAAAAGGAAAAAAAATTATAAGAAAAAATTAAAGAATTTTAAAAAATAAAATTCAAAAAGGAAAGCGCAGCCCCTGCTTGCAGGCGCCCCACTCTGGGGGGTATTCTTGGGGTGCGAGACCCTCCTGCTTTTCTTTTGGCGCTGGGAGAGGGGGGACGTCTAAAATTCCTTTTTTTTGTCTTTTTTTTTTCTCCCCCCCGTTTATCCTTTCAGCTTTTTCTCGCCTCGAAAGGGGAATTCGCACCGCGATCCGCGGGAGCGCAAAAAAGAGGGAGGGAAGGACGGGGGGAAAGGGAGCGAAGCCTGCAGGGGTTGCACAGCCTACAGGTTGCAGGGGGGAGGCGTGGGGGAGCAGGGGTGTTTGGGGAGGTGGGACGGCGATTTCACACAGTCGCTCACTCACGCGCACACACACACTCTTCCCAAAGGGCTGGGAGGAGGCAGGTTGGGAAGGGAGCAAAGTTCCTTGAAAACCAGTGTCCTGCTAATAATGCATCAAAGCAGTCAAGAGGAGAAGGAAAAAAAAAAAAAAAAAAAAAGAAAACGCAGGAGAAGGAAGAGGGGATGCAAAGCTCCCCTCCCCTCCCTCTTCTTCTGCAGGAGGAAAAGTCTCTCCCGACGCAGCGAGCTGCTGGGAAGCTTGGTATGAAGCAAAGTTGTGTTTCGATCGGCTCTGTTCAACTCTCCCGCTTTCCTCTTCCAAGATTTGCAAAGAAAAAAAAAAGACCAAAAGAGTAAAAAAAAAAAAAGTTTTCTGCAAAGTTGGAGTGTTTTGTTGCAAAGTCGGCAGAGGAGCGGTAAAAAATCAGGGGGAAAGGAAAAAAAAAGAGGAAAAAAAAATCCACTTTGTAGATCTCCCAACACTTTTCCCCTGGAGAAGTTTCTAAAGAGACTGAATACTGCAGAACAGGCTGTCTTTTAAATAGACTGCCTCTGGCTGCCTGCCAGCCCCTCGCTGCAATTTGAGATCCCAATGACACCTCAGCTTGACTAGGTGCCAGCAGCGAGGGCCCTATCAGTGCGCGCTCGGGCCGTGGGGGTGGGGTGCGCAGCTCCTGACTTCTGGGCTTCAAACCCCGGGCAGTGATCAAGGATAATATTATGAGGAGAGACAAGGGGAGGAGGAGGGGGAAGGGGAAGCCGAGGACTGGAAGGCGGGGGGTGGGGGGGGGGGAAGTTCAGATCTTCACGGTTTAAGAAAAAAAAAAAAAAAGCAGCAAAGTGGTTGCCGTTGGGTTGCAGGGCAGCTTGGGCTGCAGGGAGTCTGGATGGGAGAGGTCAGGGCTCTGAGTTTGGGGAGGAAGAGGGAGGTTGGGTTAGCAGGGGCTGATGGTAGGTGCTGTGCTGGTGGGTGCGGAGCCCACGGCGGGCTGGGAGCCGCGCAGCACCGTGCGCTCCAAAGGTGAGCAGGAGGAGATGGCTGGGTGCCTGCCAGGGAGCTACTGTCGCCCGCCCCGGCCCAGGAAGGAGCCTTTGTGTGTGCAGGGTGCCCAGCCCTCCTCTCGCGTTCCCTCTGCCCCCGGGCGAGGTTTAAAACCGCAGCGAGGCTTTGCCGTGTGCCGGGGTGCGCCCCTGACACCCCCAAACAGCAAGGGTTAACACGGCCGGACAGTGAGCAGAGGGAGGGCTGGGCTGCTTGTAAGCACTGTGTTAGATTCCTCTTTGGAAAAGTTCGCTGTTGCTTAGGGCATGCCAGAAACGAAGGGGAATTTTGCCATGTGAAGTCCAATTTGCACGTTTTAGCTCATTCTTCTGTCTCTTGCCCTGCACAAAATGGGGAGGGAGAAGAAAGGGAAAAAAAAAAAAAAAGCGCTTTGCAGTGCTCATCCCCTGTCCTGGGCAGCTTGGGGTTTGTTGTCTTTTGTTCCACCGCTGCATTCCTCAGGGTTACAGTTCTCCCGGCCCTGGTCCTTCTCACTTGCCTCCCTCAGTTCTCATTCATCTCGAGGAGCAAGGAAGCTGGAAGCGTAGGAGAGGGAATCTCCAAACCCGGGGTGTGCAGCCCCCGCAGCTGTGCTCAGGGGTTACACCTGGAGCAGGGGGTGAGCAGAACCAAGGGTGGGAGTCTGCTCAGAAGCTCAAGCACGGGGGCGTCTACCAGGGCAATGGGAAATTCAAAGGGATCAGCTAATTCTGAGTGAGGTTTATGTGCGATTCAAGTCAACCCCCCTTCCACACAGGCACACACTCCTCCAAAGCTTCATATTGCCCAGGTTTCTTTTTAGATCAGTCATCTGTGCAGCTGCATTGCATGGATTTTGCCACTAGAATGCACCCTTATCTATGGTAAGAGGACGGATGGTTGCTTAAAAGCATTAACTCCTTCTTCTCCAAAATTTCCAGCTTAAGGCTTTCTTTGCACCTCTCAGGTGTTCCTTGTTTTACTGCCTTTCTACCCCATGCAGACTCAGTAGTAAAGATCAAATTCCTCCTGTTCTTACCCCTTGCCCTCCAAAAAAGAAAACAACATTGCTAAGCTTGGTTGGGTGGTTTTTTGCTTTTCTTTCTACCAAGAGTTTTTTTCCAGAGGTTTTATTTATTACTACCTGAATCTCTGCTTCGATCACAGTTAACTGAAAAAAAAGAAAAGAAAAGAAAAGAAAAAAAGGCACCTTTAAGGTAAGAAAAGCACTCCTCAGGGGTTTTATCTTGAAGTGCTTTAAAATGGTTTCTCCAGTTGACACTTAGGGCTTTTACAGCATATTAATTGCATCCTGCCACTGTTTTTTATGAGAATCTGCCACTGGTCTGAATGGGTGCTTTGCAGAAAATACCACCAGGCAGAAAGGGAGCACTGCTCACCTGGAGATCTGGAAACACTTTGTGAGAGGGCTTAGGGCAGGAGAAAAGTGGCTTTCCTCATTCTCCCATCTGCCCTGTAAGAAACAGAGTGCCCCGTTGATTAGTACCTGGTGCAGAGACAGTGAGAGTGTGTGAGGGGTGGAGGAGAGGTTTCACTCCCACTCCTACCTGCGAGACACAAAATGGTGAGGCATGTAGAGAACTGCCTCCATCAAGCCCAGCTGCAAGCCCTGGCATGGGAGGCTTGGGCACGGCTGGATTGCCACGGGGCAGAGATCCTGCGAGGGATCCCAGGGGAAGCTGCTCTAACTTAGGGCTGCCCGGGAAATTTCTCTTGGGCCAAAACCCAGGTCAGGTGAAGTTGTCTTGCAGCCACCCTCATTTCACTCCTGTGCTGTCCTGCGAGGACGCTCATCCACAAAAGCTTGCCTGGAAACTGAGTTGTATCCTCAGGCAGAAGATGATAATATTTTAGCCATGAGAAGTGCCCTCTTGGCAGGTATCCCCCCATTTTATGAAAGTAGTCTCAGCTATGGGGATCTTAGGGCTGCCACCTGTACTGAACCACTGAGGCCAGCAGTTGGGATGGAGTTGCAGATGACCCCTGGTCTGTGCTCTCTCCATGCTTTTCACAAGGTCTGTCTTTATGGCATCTTCTGCTGACACCAAAAAACGCCCACTACTACCCTGGCAACATAAGACAGCCACAGGACAGTGTGCAGCGTATGGCTGGCTGTGAGCTGTAGGAGAGCCTGCAGCTAACAAAGATCACATTTCTCCTGGCTTGTGCTCTTCCAGAGGAGATCACAATCATGTTTTATGTTTATAAGACATGCTCTCTTATTTCGAGGGAGTGAACAGAGAGCGTTCAGAGGAAACCAACGTTTCTGTTAGTGTCTTCTAGTGTATTTCATTGCTATAGGCTCATGGGTTACATATAGCTCTGCTGCAAAAAGAGAAATAATTATTTGGAAAGCAGTTAGTGTTCTTAACATATCAGATATGTTACACTTCATTATGATAATCTCAGTAATATGCAAAAGCACTGACTTTCCTGGGTATGATAAAGAGGATGGAACACATACTTTAATCAGTTTGGGCTAATCTGTGTGTTTTGGAAGCACTTAGAACATAAAAAAAGAAGTTCAGGCTGAATGAACTGAAGAACATAAAAAAATAAAGATTAGGAGCTGAATGACATACAAAACTAAGATACTTTTTTCTTCTCCCTCCAGAACCACTGTCTGATTTTTCTAGATCTGAAACTCATTAGCAAAATAATGCTTATAGAGGAGAATGTATATATATATATTTTTTTTTTCATGAGCAAGCATTAAAAAACACAGAATAGTTGTGAAATCAGGAGCCTGAAGCATCGTTCTGAAAAAAAAGAAAAAGCCAGTACTTCTGCAAAGCTTGGAGGGAAGAACGACAAGCAACAGAAGTAGAACTGATGGGACAAGTCTGAGACAGAAGTGCGGAAAGGAGAGATGAACACCAGCAGGAGGTGCAGATATCAGCACAGTATTTCACTTTGCATGGAGACTGCGTTGTGTGTCAAAAGTAAAATGTGATTTCTTCCCAAGATATTTGTTCTTCCCTTGGACAGTGCCTTCTTGCTTGCGATGATAACCCCAACAAGTGTTCGCGGCTCGGTGCAGGGAGCCCCTTCCCAGCAGGATCCCGCAGCCCATCCCGCAGCAGTGGATGTAGTAGAGCTAGCGAGGGCTAGGTGGCATACTGGATACGTTGGAGAGTCACCTCTAAGGACTTCCTTCCACATCCAGCAAGGGCTAGGCTGAATGAAATTATCTCTTTGCAGGCAGCTTTCTGTGTCATTAAAAAAACAAAGCAACCGATGCTTCCAGTGAAGACAGCATCAATGTTTTGCTTTCTAACATGCCTCATGGGGGTATCAATTTTTAACCGCATGTAGAAATGGAGTCTCCCCCCACCAGATCAGCGCCTGGGTGTTCTGCGGGGCCGTGTTGGCTCTGTTTCACATTATCAGGGCTCAGCTGCCAAGATTTCCAGTGGTGACGGGTGACTGGGGTGCCTCCACCTCCCAGTGGCCCACACCGGCCAGCTTGGGGTGCAAAGTGGGGGGATTCAGTAAGAGAGGGACATCAGGTCCTGGGCATCAGGGGGTCCTTCCTCAGAGACTTTCACAAGGACTGAAGCATAAAGGCTATACTGGATGTTTAAATGATAGAGGCAGAAATAGCTCAGGGGACAAATTCCTCTTGCCTGAGAACGGACAAAATTAATTTCTTCTGCTAACAGGGAAAAGACAGATGTTTCATCATGAACAGACAACACAGGTTCCCTTTTGCACCTTCCTGGCCAGAGCAGAGGTCATTGTGTTGCTGGTGGCTCTCTCAAGGGCCTGGGTGTGGGGTGAGCAGTTCAGTGCCCCTCGCAGCACCGTGCATGGCCCAGCAACAAGTGGGGCTGTGAGTCTCCTGCCCCACTGGCCATGTGTGCCATGGCCATGGTGCCACATATGTACCTGCTTCCCTGGGGCATTGGAAAAGTGCAGTCTGGCTCTGGGGAGAGGTGCTCCATGACTGGGGATGAGTTGCAAAAGAAGCTTCAATTTCCCTTATCTGTGCAACAGGACTGCTGAGGCTTTTGTGTCTCAGAGGGGACAGGATGAACTTAAAGGACTGTCTTTGTAAGTGGCTGGAGATCTTGTCAAGGTGCTCTGCAAGCTGGAAATATCCATGTGATTCACTCGCTTTCCACCTCCACCTTCCCCCGCTTCATGCTGCCCACATTGTTTTTTTGTTATTAATTGTTTTAGATTCAGACAATGCCTCTCCTTTGGCCTCAGGCAGACAC